AAAAAAAAAAAAAAATGTAGAATCTTTATTCTACAATATAGACCCTCAAGAAACCCTGATCTTTGAAGACCAGAGTTCAGGTTCAAGCTCTACCACCTTGAGTAATTCTCTTCAGTTTACTCACCTGGACAATGGGGTGTTCCTCGTCTATACAGTGAAAGGAAGTTTATTTGTGGAAACCATTCAACCACAAGGGTCCTAGGTTTCACAGGGGTGTCGGGGAGGGGAGGGGGTTCCAAATGAGCTAATGGATGGCGAGCACAATTATTCACTAACTGTTCACTGTGACATGGTCCCCTGTAGTGGAATGTGACTGAAGTCACAATGTGCAGTTATTGCAGGGGGCCACGTGCCTCTGTAGGTATTGTCCTTAATTATCACAATATTGTAGTGTTGGTATTATTGTACCCATTTCCCTGACTGAGAAACTGAGATTCAGAAATGATGCAACATGGCCAAGATCACAAGATACAATTAATACCAACAAGAAGAGCAATAAAAAATCCAGCAGACTAGATTGGGATGATGCAATTTAGGAGTCCCCAAGACGCCTCTGATTCAGTGATCCACAAGAAGGACCCAAAACTCAGCAATACTGTTTTACTCATGATTGCAGTTGATTATAGCAAAAGACTACAGATGAAAATCAGTACAGGGAAGAGGTGCCTAGGGCAGGATTCAGGAGAGAGCAGGCATGAGCTTTCAGCTGGCCTCTCCCAGTAGTGTTGCACCAAGAGAGCTTACTTCTTTCAGCAACAATGTGTGGTGACATGCACAGACATGCCAAGAAGAGAAGTGCACCCAAGCCTTGGTGTCCAGGGTTTTTATTGTGGGTCTGGTCACTGACTTAGCTTAGTCTTCAGCCCCTCCAGAGGTCAAGCTGATGCCCCAGGATCCAGGGGTCCCACCATAAATCAGAGTGTTAGCATTAACTGATGAAGTCCAAGGTCTCAGGTAAACAAAGACACTCCTATCAGGCAGGATATCCCAAGGGTTTAGAGATCACCTCGTAGGAGCTGGACAAGTGTCAAGCCTTTCTTAGGTAAGGTGACTCTTTTAATGCACAGATATAATACAGGAGTATGGTAGGTGGGTCTGTTTTTCAACTTGGATCTCTCCTTACAGGGTTACTTTCTCAGGTTTTGATGGAAATCAAGAAGATACCAGTGGAAGAGGGGCTGTGCACGACAATCCCTTGTGCATTTGAATTTCCCAAAGAACTCCCAAGCAGTTCCATGATCATGGGCTACTGGCTCAACAAAAACGTCAGCTCCCTTGTAGCTACAAATAAACCCAATTCTACCGTTGGTGGTAACACCAGGGACAGATTTTCCATGACTGGGAATCTTGATGAAGAAGACTGTACCCTACTCATCCATGATATTCTCAAAGGGAACAGTGCGACGTATTTATTCTATGCAGATCTAGGAGAACAAAAAAGTGCTTTCCTGGGGGAGAATATCAAACTCTTTGTGTCAGGTGATGTTCAATATCATCCAATAAGTGGTTTGGAAAGAAGGAAATCCAACCGTGGTTCTGGTGATTATGTGGTTTTTACTTGATGGGCACGAGGCTTTACAAAACCTCAGGTGTTTGAGTTTTCCAGTGATGCAATGAGATCGGTATAATAGGTAACTTTACTTTTCCAAATAGAAATGGCAAAAAGAGAAGCGACTCACCCTATGTCATCCAACCAATACAAAATAGAGAGGAAATGATCACAGACTGGGCTGGGAAGGGGCAGAGTCTAGGGGTAGAATTGGTCTGGAAAAGGGAGGGAGAGGAGGAGTTACCACTAGTACATCTAGTCTGGGGCTCAGGTGAGGGACCAGAATGTAGAATCCTCATTCTACAATGTAGATCGTCAGAAAACTACTCACCCTCAGTCTTTGAAGACCAGAGTTCAGGTTCAAGCTCTACCACCTTGAGTAGTTCTCTTCAGTTTGATCACCTGGACGCTGGGCTGTTCCCCTTCCACACAGAGAAAGGAAATCTATTTGTGAAAAACCATTCAACCCCAACAATCCCAGGTTTCACAAGGCTGTTGGGGAGGTGAGGGGGTTGCAAATGAGCTAATGGGCGGGGAGCACTTTGTAACCTGGAAACGCTGTGCATCAGTGAAGTGTCCATGAGGGTCCCTTTTCCCCCAAGGTTTAGGTCTACTTCTCTTTTCTCCAGACCTAACCCAAAAGCCAGAGCTCCACATCCCAGAGATTCTTTTGGCTGAGAAACCTGTGACCTTGAACTGTACCCTCAAAGGCACCTGCAAAGAAATCCAAGCCCTCTTTCACTCCCGGAAGAACCCAGCCGTCTCCAGCAGCTCCTCCTCGGTGCCGCACTTCATCCTGAGGCCTGAGGACCATGGCAACACCCTTGGATGTCACTTGAACTTCTCCCTAGCCAACGTGACCAGAAGTAGCTTGGTCAAGCTCCAAGTGGTCTGTAAGTGCTGGTGGGCACAGGCAGGATCCTGAGAAATAGTGGGCTCAGGAAAAGACCTGAGCCCCAGAGGGAAAGAAATCTTAGGAGCTGTCACATGTTCCCCCTGACCTTTGGGGCTGAAAGGTCAGAGGTAGGAGCTGAACCCAAGTCGGAGGCAGATGTGGAGAGAGGATGAAAGGGGACTGTTTTGAGTCCCAGCCCCACTCTGGGTTGCCAGAAAGTCTTTCTGAAGCTCCCTGTGAATAGCGAGTAGAGGGAAGGCTGGGTCTTAGGGGAAGTAGAGAAGCAAAATCAGGACATCTTGATGATCCCCGATTCTTCCTCCGCACAGCACCTCCCGGGTTGTTCAATTCCTCTTGTTCTTTGGAGAAGACAGTTCTGTGCAGCTGTTCCTTCCATGGGATCCCCACGCCCTCCGTGCAGTGGTGGATGGGAGGTGTCCCTGTGGATGTGAACAGCATGGATAACATCCTCCGGGTGACTTCTTCCACACGTGTCCCCTGGGCCAATAGCACCATCAGCCTCATCGGGGAGCCAGAAATAGTCATGAGACTTCGCTGTGAGGGGAAGAACCAATATGGAATTCACACTTCCAGCTTCTTCCTGATACCAAGTGAGTATCCGGGGACCTAGTGACTGAGCTGGAAAGAACGCCTAAGGACCAGATGTGGATGGGCACAGGGCCAGTGGAAAGGGTAGAGAGTTTTAGCTCCGACTTCAAAGCCTTTGGAGAAAAGTCCATCTCACTTCCCTCCAATTCCAGATAAGAAATCAGTTTCCAGTATGTTCGTGAAAGGATTAATTCAGGGCATTGTGTATGGAGCCATTGCATTCTCATTGCTCTTCTTCTGCCTCGTCCTCTTGTTGTGAGTATCAAAGTTCAAATTCATCAGCAGCCTTTCCTTTATTTATGTTCTCCATTTCCTTCCTCATACTTTCTTCCAGTTTATTTTGCTTTGTCTACTTTGTTTGTTTGTTTGTTTGTTTTTTGAGACAGGGTCTCCCTCTCTCACCCAGGCTGGAGTGCAGTGGCGCAATCACAGCACTGTAGCCTCCACTTCCCTGGGCTCATGATCCTCCCACTTCAGCCTCCTCAGTAGCTGGGACTACAGGTGTGTGCCACCACACCTGGCTAATTTTTGTATTTTTTTGCAGAAACATGATTTCACCATGTTGCCCAGGCAAGTTTCCAACTCCTGGGCTCAAGTGATCGACCCACCTCAGCCTCCCAAAGTGCTGTTGGGATTACAGGTGTGGCCCACCGCCCCCGGCCTTGTCTACCTTTTAAAAATGGATTCTTATGTCGTTAACTTTCGGTTATTCTTCTTTTTCAGTATTTGTATTTAGGGCCATAAATTTCCCTCTGAGCGTGACTTTAGCTGCATCTCAC